GGACGTCAGATATCTCACTGGTCTTCTGGACAGCCACCAAAAAAAAAAGAAGTCTCACTGGTCTAAAATCAAGATGTCAAGATGTCAGCAGGACTGCTTTCTTTCTGAGAGTTGTAGAGAAGAATCTGTTCTTTGCCTTTCCAGCTTTTAGAAGCTGTCTACATTCCTTAACTGGCGGCTTCTTACTCTACCTTCAAAGCCAACAGCATACCACCTTCTTTCTTCTCTGACCTCTGCTTCCACAGTCACATTTGCTTCTCTCTCTGCTTCTCTCTGCTTTGACCCCCGCCTCCCTATTATAAGAATCATCGTGAGTACATTGGGACCACCTGGATAATCCAGGCTATTCTCCCCATTTAAAAATCTAACTTAATCACATCTGTAAAGTCCCTTTAGCCATGTAATGTGACATAGTCACAGGTACCAGGGATTAGGACACGGGCATCTTTGGGGAGCCATTATTTGGCCTACCACAGTGAGGAACTAATTTTTAAATTTTAATTCAAGTTAAATAGTCAGATGTAGCTAGATGATACCGTATTGGACACCAGAGTTAAACCATGAGCAACCTGAAGACAGAGATCAAGTTTTATAAATCTCTGTATTCCCAATACCTAATACACACACATGAAAATAAATGCTTGCTGAATAACAAGAAAATCAGCCAAAAAAGACCAAACCAACCAAAATACATGTCTAAGTCCATTAACTAAAGCTCATAGCCTACTTAGTCTCATTTACCATGACAAACCCACAACTAAAGGATTTCACAGAGCTGTGGTTATTACAATTTCAATAACATATAACTAGCTATAAATTCCTATTGGGCACTTATAAAAATGTAGTTCATTACTTTCCAAAGGGTATGAATTCCTATACTTCAATATATTATTTTCTACAACTGTGCAAGCACAAATTATCTCTTTGAGTTAAATGGTTGGCAAAAACTAGAATGTAAGGGATAAAGAGCTAGTACTCCCACAAAAGGTACAGACTCCCCTGCCGCCTCCTCTGAGTGCTTGAAAATTAGGACGCTTGTACTGAAACACAAACCAGCAGTCAGCAATAAGATGCTAAAGTTAATAAACACAATCCTGTAAGTACAAACTCACCAAGTCCAAAACAAAGAGAAATCTTCTTTCCATCAACACCTACTCATCTCCTGACATTTCTACTTCTTGGAGAAGCACTAATATTGTCTAGTAACCTACTAATGCTATCTCTGCATTGTTTCTCCCATTTATCCCCATTCTTGCCATTTCATTGGTTTCAGGCCCCAACTATAGATACCTTAATATCTCCCCATTCCAGATACATGTACACACAACCACTGGGTTAGTTTGTCCACAGCAATCCTGCTCATATCACTTCCTGATCCAAAACCTTCCATTACTTCCCAATATCTAATGAATAAAATCCAAACTCCTTACCTTGAATATACATTGGCACCTACCTTTCTAGCCCCATTATTCATTATCCCAAGGTTTTCAAAATCCCAAGTTTCAATTAAATTGGGCTTGTTTTCAAACACATTCCTGACACCATCTTCCCACATCTACCTATGAATTCATGAGTAAGTCTGGATGTGAATACCCACAGATCAGAGTATGTAAAGGCAAGATTAGAATGTAAGAAATGAGGTTTTAGAAAGTCGGGGGATGTATTACACAATTAAGATACTTAAACTTCATCCAGTAGGGAATGCGGGAACCACTGAAGGTCTGGGTTCTTTTGTTTTTGTTTTGTTTGGTGGCTGGCTGGTACAGGGAACTGCAGGTTTTTAAAGGTTTTTTAATCACGATTTCTAAATTTGCATTTCAGAAATTTAACTCTAGCAAGAGTATGGAAATTCTAAGTGGCAAAAGAGATTAAAAAGGCTATCAAACAGTATAGGACTAGCTGGTTAGCTCACTTGGTTAAAGCACAGTGCTAATAAAGAGTGCTAATAAAAAGCACTTACTAACTCTAACCAAGGCCAAGAGTTCCGATCCCAGGGCTGACCCGTGGCTTACCCGGGAGAGTGTGCTGCTCTTTTTTAAAAAAAAAAAAAAAAAAAAAAAAAGTTCTGTTCCCTATACCTGCCAGCTACCAAAAACAAACAAACAAAAACAGTAAGGAGATGATAAGGGGTCACTCTAAATTAGTGGTGGAAATACAGACAAGGAACAGATCGGAGATATTTATGGTAGAAGCAACAAGATTCAATAGAAAGTGCACTCAAATATCCACTCTTCCCCATTTCAAATTGTTCTTCACACCACAGTCTAAGTTGTCTTCAAAATGCAAATGCAAAGTGCAAACTCTCCTCTGCTTAAAACTCTTCAGTGCTTCCTGCTGATCTTGGGATAAAAAGCAAATTTTGTCACAATCCTTCTTAAAAAGCCCTGCATGACTGACCTCTGCCTACTCCACTGCTGTTAGTTTGGATCATTCTCCCTCATTCTCTAGCAGTCTTTACTCTGATCATATAAGCCTTCTTTCAGCTCCTTGAACATGCTATTTGTTCCCTCCCACTGCACAACTTCAGCAGGGAGTGATCTTTCCTCAATATTCTATATTCACTTTTCTTTGATACTCTGGCTTGAGTAATGTTAAGCCTACCCTGGCCATCTTCTCACCCGACTAGGTCAAGGCCCTATGCTATATATTCTTATGCCATTGTGTCCTTTCCATACATGACCTCTTTTCTCAATTCATGATTACATTTTTGTGGGGTTCCTGGAGAAATGTCCATCTCACCCACTGGACTCTAAGCTCCATGAAGACCAGGACCATCTCTGTTCTGTTCACTACTATATCCCCAGCTCTCAGCACAGGGCCTGGAAGGTTGGTAAGTAAATATTTGTTGAACTAATGAAATTCCCAATTTGTTAAAGAGGACTACAAAGTTTCTAACTTTGATAACAAGATGTATAGTCATGCATTTAACTACAGTGGAGAACCAAAGAAGACATGCTGAATTATCTATACGAAATTCAGATGAAGATGTCTAACAGAAAGCTGGAAATAGTATGTTGCACAGAAGAGAAGACACAGTAGGTATGATTTCGGACTCATCAGCACCGTGGTAATAGTTGATTTTACACTCTTTTTTTTTTTTTTTTTTTTTTTTAAAGATGACCGGTAAGGGGATCTCAACCCTTGGCCTGGTGTTGTCAGCACCACGCTCAGCCAGGGAGCAAACCGGCCATCCCTATATAGGATCTGACCCCGGGGCCTTGGTGTTATCAGCACCGCACTCTCCCGAGTGAGCCACGGGCCGGCCCTTGATTTTACACTCTTTTTTTTTTTTTTTAAAGATGACCGGTAAGGGGATCTCAACCCTTGGCCTGGTGTTGTCAGCACCACGCTCAGCCAGGGAGCAAACCGGCCATCCCTATATAGGATCTGACCCCGGGGCCTTGGTGTTATCAGCACCGCACTCTCCCGAGTGAGCCACGGGCCGGCCCTTGATTTTACACTCTTAAAATCACAAAAGACAGGGCCGGCCCATGGCTCACTTGGGAGAGTGTGGTGCTGATAACATCAAGGCCACGGGTTCGGATCCCTATATAGAGATGGACAGTTAGCTCACTTCAGAGAGCATGGTGCTGACAACACCAAGTCAAGGGTTAAGATCCCCTTATCAGTATCTTTTTATTAAAAAAAAAAAGTCACAAAAGCCAGTGATTCACCTAGAAAGAAAGGGAGAAGGGAGAGGAGGAAGAAGTATGTATCAGAATCTCTTAGGAAGAGGGACTTTTCATACTTGATCACACCTTACCCCATTTAAGGATCTCAATATATGACGAAAGTTGCTGACAGGAGCGTTGCACCTGTGAAAAGTGTAGAGGCAAAATTTAAAAAGTGGAGAACCACAATGATTTAAAAAGAGTTGCAAGCTCACTTATTCACAGAATCTTTTGAGGAACAATTCCAGTGGATTCAGATGTGAAAGCCAAGCAGATGAGAGAACCACTTTGTCTTTTGTGATAAGACAATGTCTTAAAAGGCAGTCTGAAGGAAGTTTTTTTTTTTAAATTGAGAGAAAGAAACAAGCATTTGTAGATAAAAACAGGAAAAAGCCAGAGAGAGAGAGTTTGTATTTTCAGGCTCATGGGAAAGGATAACATAGCAAAATCACAGAAGATGATGTGAGGGGTATATACTAACAAAAGCTACTATGTATTGCACACTTACTATATTCCAGGCACTGACCTAAATGCTCTACATACTTAACTTTAAATCCTCCCCAAAGCCCTATGAGGTTCATACTATTCTTTTCCCCATTTTACAGATGAGGAAACAGATATGGCAGACAGCTGGTAAGTGGCGGAGCTGGAGTTAGACCCCAGGTCTGTCTCTAAAGCCAGATGACCAAAATTCACAATATTCATTAGAGTATAAGTATTTTTTTTTAAAGGGGGTCATCTCTTGTTGTAAAACGACAGAAGACGCCAGAAGATCACTGGGAGGTAGGGGAATGAGAAAATTCTTGCCCTGAAGGCCTCTTGTGTCCCTCCAATCAAAGAGGCGCTGAGGGAGATGGGGGGAGGGCCTTGAGGGGAGGCAAAAGGTTTGGTGCTGGAGCTGTGGAGAATGGAAAATGACCAGGGGGGAAGAGCCGAAAAATCAAAGACAACTTAATCCCTGAAGCACACAAATCCTGAGAGTCTGCGAATTCTACATTCACGTTGGAATTAGGGCCTATTATGTGCCAGAGATGGTTGTAGGCGGTTGTAGCGGTCAAGATAAACAACTTCTTGACTCTCGGCATGCTAGTTTCGAAAACAACCAACACCAATGACCTCCTGGCACTCAGGGAAACCCATTTCTCGAGAGAAACCCATCCGAAAGCTTTCAATAATATATACTCCAAGGCGAGATAGTCTTTCTGGAGGACGAGTGATCGAAATGCTAATTCCTACGTACGATCGTCCCCAGCCCCCTCCCGGACCCTCTCGAGGGACGCAGACTACATGCACAGAAGCTGTACCCAGGGACAACGGGAACGTGGCTACCTGCAGCCCTCGGACGTCAGGCGCTGCCCTTCCCCGGCCGATTTCGCCGCTCCAGGTGAACTCCCTCCGACTCTCTGGCCTCCGACGCCTCTGGCCTCCGCTCGGGACACTACCGCGCCATGCAGCCTCTTCCCCAGCAGCCCCGAGCGCACTGGGACCCCACAGCAACTTACCCGCCCTCCCTGGCCCAAGACAGCCGGGTTCCTCTCTGGACACCGAGGTCCCCGGCATCTCCACCAATACCAATGCGCAATCGGGACGCGGAGGCGGGCCTGAGCGTCCGGGACCAGTCAGATCAGACGCAAAGAACGTCTCGTCGCACATAAGTAGTTCCCGCCTTTGGAAAGGAAAAAAAAAAAACACGGTTGGCGCCAAACTCCCGTAGTCTTCTGCGGCTCTTAAGGGAGAGGGGTGGGGCAGACGGTGGCGGGGACGGGGACAGGGCGGGGCTCCACTGCGGAAGGGGCGGGACCTGAGCAGGGGTTGGAGCAGCGTCTGGGAAAAGCTCTGTAGTGAAAGGGAAAGTAAACTCTGAGGAGGCTGTCATTTTTTTTGTTCCTTTATAAGTTCTATTGAGTGTCAGCTGCGTGCTGGACAGAGTGCTGGGTTCTGGCTCGATGATGACGAATTAGCTTGTTCCCTGCCTTCAGACGCTTTCCGGATGACAGACGTATAGAAAACTTAGCTACTGATGTAGTAGGGTCGGTGAGAGGACAGCTTTCTAGAGGACAGAATACTTGATTTATTTTACAGAACCTGCAGGAACCGGAGCTGCCGCCAGATCTAGCCTCAGGAACGCGACCTGCACCATTGATTGATGAGAAGTAAAACAAGCCACCTTCCTGGGCTACTTTATACCTAGTGTCTCCCGATCATGATCCCTACCGGTTTCCTCTGGTTTTTCCGTTTTAGTCTTCGCAACTGTCACATCAACTCAGTAGGTACTTTTAAACTTTCTAAAAGGCCCCCATGTTGGAGAATATGCTCCGAGAGAGTACTGGCTTCTTACGTTCTCCCCCATCCAGCTTCGCTTTTGAAGGAAGTTAGACTGGAGGGTATTTATTGCAGGTAGAGGAGACTGGGAAGAAGTAGAAGGCAACGACAAGGCGTCCATTGTTGCTGGAAGTGGGACGTGAGGCTGGACAGTGGGCAGGGATCAGACCGTGAAGGGCCATAGATATGCCAAGTAAATCTCAAACAGTTTGGAATTTACCTTTGAATGACCGAGGTGTCAAAGATTTTGAGCTTGGGGTGGTCATGATCTGATTTACATTAGTAAAATCTATTGGCCTTGAAAAAGACGATTTTGAGATGCTGTTGCGGTGATCCAGACCAGAGGAAATGAGGATCTGAAAGAGGTGGTAGGTATGGGGAGGGGATAGATTTTAGAATTTTTAGGAGGTAATAATCAACAGAACTTAGCAATTGATTAAACATTGGTTTTCAGCACGGGTGCATAATAGTGGTATTTATCAAAAAATATTTATTGAGGGCCGGCCTGTGGCTCACTCGGTAGAGTGCGGTGCTGATAACACCAAGGCCACGGGTTCGGATCCCATATAGGCATGGCCGGTTCGCTCACTGGCTGAGCGTGGTGCTGACAACACCAAGTCGAGGGTTAAGATCCCCTTACCGGTCATCTTTAAAAAAAAAAAAAAAAAATTTATTGAGAACATAGTACATATACTCCAAAAACAAACAAACAAAACTAAGGGTTTCCCCCAAAAAATGATCTTCCAGAAAAGAGTGACCTTGTATGGAAGTTCTTACAAAGTCACTCGTTTTACTGGTATTCTCTTAAATACTTCACACTGAAAATAATTAAATAAATAAAAACTTTAAAAGATGTGGTGTTATAACACCAAAGTCAAGGGTTCAGACCCCCACACAGGCATAGTGGCCAACTGCCAAAAAATAAAATAAAATTCTAAACTTAAAAAAAAAAAGTAAATTGAAAAAATTAAACTTACTATATATTAAATATATATCTACATAACCACACAGAGAAAATAACTATTTCAAGTGACATTTCTTTTTTTTTTTTTAAGATGATTGGTAAGGGGATCTTAACCCTTGACTTGGTGTTGTCAGCACCACGCTCACCCAGTGAGCTAACCAGCCATCCCTATATAGGATCCGAACCCGTGGCCTTGGTGTTATCAGCACCACACTCTCCAGAGTGAGCCACGGACCGGCCCTCAAGTGACATTTGAACGAATACTCTGACTGTACATCATTATGATATATTCTAAGGATAAAGAGGACCTCAAAGGAATCTTGTACCTCATGTGCTAGTTTTATTGCTATTGTCCATAGTAATTTTTTTATTATCAATATTATTGGGGCACATTTCTTACAATTATGAATCAATATATATATTTTTTTTTAAAGATGACCGGTAAGGAGATCTTAACCCTTGACTTGGTGTTGTCAGCACCACGCTCACCCAGTGAGCTAACCGGCCATCCCTATGTGGGATCCGAACCCTTGGCCTTGGTGTTATCAGCACCGCACTCTCCCGAGTGAGCCACAGGGCCGGCCCTATGAATCAATATTGATATACTGTTATTAACTCAGTTTTACTTTGTTTTCCTCTTTGTGTTGTATAGTTTCGTGAGTTTTGCCAAATGCATAATGTCACATATTCACCATTATGGTATCATACAAAACAGTTTCACTGCCCTAAAAATCCTCTGTCCTCCACCTCTCATCCTTCCCTCTCTCTCCTCCCCTGAAACCTTGGCAACCACTGATTTTTTTTTCCCAGTTACCTCATTTATCATTTGTTTATGTTGGAAATATTCAAAATGCTCTCTTTTAGCTAACTGAATGTGTACAATAAATTGTTAATTATAGTCACCCTACAGTGCTGTAGTACACTAGATATTATTTTTCCTATCTAGCTATACTTTTGTGTCTGTTAACGAACCTCTCACCTTTTCCAGCCTCTGGTAACCACTTTCTACCTCTCTATTCTCTGCTTCTATGTGATCAACTTTATTACCTTCCATATATGAGTAAAAATATGCATTATTTAGCTTTCTGTTCCTTTACGTGACGTTCTTCAAGTTCACCAGTATTACCAGGAACGACAGGATTTTATTCTTTTTAATAGCTCAATAGTATTCCATTACGAATATATATATATATATATATATATATATCACATTTTCTTTATCCATCCATCTTTTTTTTTTTTTTTTAAAGATGACCGGTAAGGGGATCTTAACCCTTGACTTGGTGTTGTCAGCACGACGCCCAGCCAGTGAGCTAACCGGCCATCCCTATATGGGATCTGAACCCATGGCCTTGGTGTTATCAGCACCGCACTCTCCCGAGTGAGCCGCGGGCCAGCCCTATCCATCCATCTTTTGATGGACATTTGGGCTGATTCCATATTTTGGCTATTATGAATAGTGCTGCAATGAACATGAGAGTGCAAATATCTCTTTGATATACCGATTTCCTTTCCTTTGGATATATACCAAGCAGTGGGATTGCTGGATCATATGGCAGTTTTGTTTTTAGTTTTTTGAGGAACCTCCATACTGTTTTCCATAATGGCTGTACTAATTTACATTCCCACCAACAATGTATGTGTTCCCTTTTCTTTGCCTCCTCACCAGCATCTGTTATTTTGTCTTTTTGACAATTGCCATTCTAACTGAAATGAGATATCTCATTGTCGTTTTGATTTGTTTTTCCCTTATGATTAGTGATGTTGAGCATTTTTTCATATACCTGTCAGCCATTTGTCAGTCTTCTTTTGAGAAATGTCTATTCAGCTCATTGTCCATTTTTTGACTGAATTGTTTGTTTTTATACTATCGAGCTGTTTGAGTTTCTCGTACATTCTAGATATTAATCTCTACATTGATTGCAATTTTGAAATTATTTTATGTCTATTGATTGTACGAGAAAGAAATATGTAATATGTTAATATTTTTTAAGAACGAAGACTTTTTAGTAAAAGAGAAGAAAGATTCAAACATAAATCAAAAAAAATTAGGAGAAAAAGTCCTGTATTATATGTGAATTAGAAATGTCAATATAAACTAATGGATTTTAAAAATACATATTTCTCACTACTGCACTTGACTAGTCTTGGGGGAAAAAAAAGATATGTATTTCTTAGTTTCATTCTTTAAAGAGTCTGGAAGCAAATAAACCCCAGTAGTAATAGCTCATTAGCACAACTAAGATCCAGATCACAATTTCTTTTTTCTTTTTTTTTTTTTGTCTTTTTTCGTGTCCGGCAACGGATCGCAACCCTCAGTGTCGCGCCCGTACCGGACCAGGACCGGAAACGGGATCGCAGTCCTCAGTGTTGCGCCCGCACCTCGCTCAGCCAGTGAGCGGGAACTGGTCTGTATGTGGGATCTGAACCCTCGGCGGGAGCGCCGCCGCGCTCCCAAGCGGCGCACTGTAGCAGTGCGCCACCGGGCCGGCCCCCAGATCACAATTTCTAAATACAATTTCTTCCTTTTTTTTTTTTAAAGATGACTGGTAAGGGGATCTTAACCCTTGACTTGGTGGTGTCAGTACCATGGTCACCCATTGAGCTAACTGGCCATCCCTATATGGGATCCAAACCCGTGGCCTTGGTGTTATCAGCACCACACTCTCCCAAGTGAGCCACAGGCCAGCCCCTCTAAATACAATTTCCACACAAAAAGGGAGATCTCCTGCTGGGACTCCCCATTTTCTCCCATCCAAGTACTAACCAGGCCCGACCCTGCTTAGCTTCCAAGATCACACATGATCGGGTGCATTCAGGGTGGTATGACTATAGAGGAGACTCCCCATTTTCTAAATGGGTCAGATTCTAAGGGCAGAGAGCAGGATGAAGGAGGAGCGGGAGTACATCTAAAGGAGCAAATGTAAGATATTCAGTACTCTGAATGTGGGTAGTAGTGGCTATGGTTAGCATTTCCAGTGATAGCATTACATTTGATTTTTTAAAGTTTTTTTACTCAAATAATTTAGGTTAAAGTGCTCTGGAAAATTGTTAGATATCTCAAGAAGTGGATCTAGTAGGGGTAGATAAAGATGACTGCAATTTCTTTGCTACTCCC